ATATTTTTACTTTGGAATTACAAAATAGATTTGATACTTTTTCCCTGTGCCATTCCACATTATTACAAATAACTTCATTTCTGGACATTTATGGTTTGATTTCTTTGTATGTATGGATCACTTGGGTTGTTACCAACATCTGGTGAAAATTTCATGTCATTAGCACCTCTAGTAATATATTTACTGAGAAAAATGGTGACATGTTCAATACTTATTTTACCCGCTGTATACTCAACCATGGATCCCTTTAAAAGAGAACAGTAGTTACATAAACATGTTCTTGTCTTTTTTCATTGACAGATTTATGCCACTGAAAGAATAAAAGAGAAATGTAAACAGCTACAACCAATATGTAAAGTAAGATTATTTCCGCTGTTCCCTTTATTCAGGGGTTACCACAGTGATAAAACTCACATAAAATATGTTTTTTTACACCAGACACCCTTCCTGATAAAGCCTGCGATCGAATCCGCAACTTCAGGATCATAGGACTGCAGGACTGACCAGATGACTAAGGCAGCCCAAAATTAATGATATATTTAGTACTGTACAATGTACCAGAATTTTGGCTTTTGCTGGGTGACTTCTTGATTAACAAGACAAGGTGAAACACGTTTAAAAAACTGTGTATTGTATTGTACTGGTAGCCAAGGTGTATTGTTGAGAAAGTGCCACGATACATTAATTCTATGGGTCATAGCCACTTATCCCGTAGCCACAATCTTTGCTCCCCGTCCAGCACAACCTTCAACAGTCTGGTGGTGGGGGGGGTGGGGGGGGTGTCAACATTTGTAGGCAAGGCACTCTGTGTGACATGTCCAGGTGTCATGAATGGCTTCTCAATTAACCTGTGTTTCCTCTTTACAGCTAATTGGCTGGCACACGTTTAAAAGCACTAAAGCCTACTTCACACTCCCTCCGAACTGCTGAAATTGGCATGGATTGTTGCAGATTCATGAGGAAAATTATGTCACAAGTGTTCTCACTGCTGACTTGGCCCTTTTGGCACAACCCGCCAGCAGAACTTTTTACCCCCCTCCCGCTACGACAATAATGTGTCATTGGTGTTGTTGTGGAATACTGATTATGTATCACCTTGACACTGTCCAATTGTTCATATCTTGTGATATCCCTGGACGTCATCATCAAGCTGACCTACTTCATGTACCAGAACGAGGCACATTCTGATTGGTTGTTTCATTATCACATAATGATAGCTCACAGTATAACATGGTATGTCCGCCGATGACAGGCGGGCCCACATCTTACAGACTTCGTGATTGTTTTCTGTTCCATGTCTGCCCATTAATAAATGACTTTATAATCATACCCGGCAGACCNGATGGATGGATGGATGGATGGATAATCATAATTCAGTCAAGAGTTTTTGTCACTTACCACTCTCTGTCAGCACACTGACAGCAACATATATGGAGTTCCCAACTAGCTTACTGACATCTGCAAAAGTCTGAGTGATCTGTTCCCTTTTCAGTGTAACCTGTCCTTCTCCATTCCGGACCTAAAATGAAAACACAAGAATGGTTGACCTGATTTTGATTGTGCATGTTCTTTACTACATTTGAAGAGGATAAGTAACACTGTGAGTCCTTACTGGCACTCGTGCCAGAGAGTGAGGGAGGCTCTTCTTCACACCGTTCTCCATAATTCCAAACACCGCATAGGCCGTCCCAGAAACTTCTCTTCCAAACAGATACCTACAACCAAAATACATTGACATCCTATTGCCACACTTTAACAGCAACAAATCTGAGTATAAAATACTCTGTTTTATGTTGCAGATAATAAAATCCTTCACATACGTAGCTTTGATGTTGACGGTAAAGTCCACACTGTCCACATAGAAGAAACACTGTCCAC